GATGTGACGCAAAGGGAATTTGTCTGGGTACAATCTGAAGATGCCGTTGCCTCCTTTGACGGATGCATTGCTGGGCGCTCGGGCGGTGCTGTTTATTCCAGTGCCGTGGCATCCCAGTGGGCTCATTGACCCCCTAAAAAAGGGGGCGCTATTTTTAATCGGAATTTCAGGACTACAAAGCCATATTTTCGGGAGATATCCCCTTACATAGCCCTTACATAAGCGCGTATAGGCGTAGTATATAGTAGTTACCTCCAATTTAGTTACCTACAATGGCCGTTGATATTTTGGACCCAGCCCCAATTTTGTCCTGGATTTCCGGATGGCTGGGCCAAAGCTTCTTTTTGGGAGATAATGAGCATTTGTTTCACGCATGAATGGGAAGATATAGGGGCTGCTCGGCCACAAAACATGATCTTTTGCAGTGCCACCGGGTACTAGCCATGTGAAGGTATTTTTTTGAATGTATAGTTAAAAATATATAGATATATAGTCTCATCATTATTTTGAATAAATAAGTGTATATATAAATATTACAATATATATATATATTACAATATATATTTTTATTGCAACATAAATATATATATATATATATTACAACATATATACATGCATAGTATTATCATTATTTTAAATAAATACAATGTAAAATACAATATATATATATATTACAATATATATATATATATATTACAATATATATATATATATATTACAATATATATATATATATATTACAATATATATATATATATTACAATATATATATATATTACAACATATAAATATATTACAACATATATATATATATTCCACAATATAAATATCAATATATATATATTCCACAATATATATATATTACAATATATATATATATTCCATAATATACGTAAATATTAATATATATATATATATTACAATATATATATATGTGTGTGTGTAATTACATTTATAGACAACTATCTCATGATTTCTTGAAAGGCTCCAATTCTGCACGTCCAAGGTGCCAAGATGTCTCTCTTGGGAAGAATGACCTTCCACAATTCCAGTTCCCTTGCTGAGCTGGTGAATTTTCTATTTTCCCATTGGGAAATTCAGCAGAAATATCTACACATGGGGAATCTCGACCAGGAATCTTATGTCCGTAGCCATTCTGGCTCAAGTACTCTTGTATGCCCTAGGCCCCCAACAACCTGTTACAGGCGGCCAAGGGGGTTCTTGCCCGGCTCTTCTACGCACGGCAGGCTTCCGCGTGTCATCCTGGGGTCGGGGCCTCCTCCGCGGGCCCTCCCCATGGCGCCGTCTCTCGGTACTCCTCTCGGGGGCGAACGCCCTCGTCAACGCAGCAGTTCTCCCTCAGTCCACGAGGTGGGGCTGACATGGCAGTCGATGGCACTGGACCTGCCCGGCTCTTCTGCCCAGTGGCGGGGTGCCCCTGTGGTGACCCACTCCAGGCACGCGGGTGGGCAAGCCCGGCAACAATGCAATCCCATGTAGACGCCCACTTGGCCGGGACCTTGGCCGGGCAGGTGCCTCAGAACTGGCTTGACAGTGCTGCTGCAGCTCTGCCCCACCTGGACGCTAGACGCTATCTGGGCCAGCCCAACCCGGACCTTGCGGCACATTCCTGGACTGGCAAGGCTCTGTGGGGGCAGGTGCTAACAAGTCCCTGGCCATGGTAGCCACTTACAATGATGCGACATCTTGGGCAGAACTCTTCATGCTGCCGCATTGTGTCCTTTGCCCCCTCCACGGGGCGGCCGCAAACACCAACGAGCGGCAGCGGCCTACACTTTGGACCGCCTCCAGCGCTGGCATGCGGGGGAGCGCTTGGAACTTTGGAGCAGCCACTCCAAGCCGCCCCCTTCGCGGGCACGGGACGACAGCAGGCGCTCGCTTGCAGAGAGTCTGGCACGGGAAGGCTTCGATCGCAAGGCTTGTGCGGCGCTCCTGGCGACAGGCTTGTGCCGCAACAGCAGCCGCGCTTCGTGGCCTTCACCCGCCGGGGCGATTGGTGCCTCCTGCTCCCAACTTGCCGCCTGCAATCGAAGTGGCCCTTGACAGTGTGCACTGTGCTTTGCGGCTCTTTGCTTTGGATAGCGCCCCTGGCCCGTCCGGCCTTCGGGTCCAACACTTGCTGGATGCTTGCACCCCTGGCAGCAGTGACGGCTTTCTGCAACAGCTCACCGCAGTGGTGAACCTTCTCGGTCAAGGCCGCGCCTGCGCAGAGGTTGCTACCTTCCTTGCGGGGGCCTCCTTGGCCGCAGTCCCCAAACCCTCTGGGGGGGTTCGGCCGCTTGCCGTGGGTGAGGTGCTCCGTCGCCTGGTTGGGAAGTGCCTGATGGGTGCAATCCGTGATGACGCGCGGGCTTTCTTCTGGCCCACGCAGGTTGGGGTTGCCATCAAGAGCGGTGCCGAAAAGGCTGTCCATGCCGCCCGAAGATGGCACTCCCGCCAGGGCCAGACTGCAGACCGAGTATAGCCGTGAAGCTTGACTTTGCCAATGCCTTCAACACAATTGACCGCGCCACTGTCCTCAGCCGGCTTGGTGAATCCTTCCCTGGCCTTGCTCGGTGGGCTCATTGGTGCTATGGTTCACCGTCCCACTTGCGATTTGGTGCCCACCAATTGTCTTCTTCGTCTGGCGTGCAGCAAGGCGACCCGCTGGGGCCCTTGCTTTTTTGCTGTGGGGCTGCAACCGCTGGCTGCGGAAATTCGGGGCCTGCCAGGACTCGACGTGTCCCTCTTCTACCTTGATGATGGCCTCCTGGCTGTCGAAATCACAGCGGTTGCTGCGGCATTAGCTTTGATCCAGCAAAGGCAGCTGCCCTTGACCTCAAGCTCAACCTGGCCAAAAGTGAAGCCATTGCTGTGGGTCACACTGACCTTTCTCTCGTTGCGCGCACCCTGCCACCTGACCTCGTTTGTGATGCCTCTGGTCACAGCCGCATCACGCGCGACTTCGAATTCCTTGGTGCTGCACTGGGCAGTGATGCTTTTCTGGCATCACACACTGCCCGGCGGGCCGCCACCGCTGCCCCACTGCTGGATGCCATTGCCAAGATGGAGGACCCTCAAGTCGCTCTGCGCCTGCTGCGCCATAGTGCTGGCTTTGGCCGCCTTGTGCACAGCATGCGCTGTGTGCCGCCGGTGCCCCAGCAACCCGCCTTGGAAACTTTTGATCAAAAGGTTCGGGGGTGCTTCACTGCAGAGTGGCCTCCCCCTTGGTGCTGAAAGCCTTGAGCAGGCTGAACGTGGCCTCTCTTGCAAGGCTTGGATTCCACCCACCCTTTCAGTGACTTGGATCCTGCATCACCGCCTGACCAGCTCCCCCCTGAGGGCTGCCTTGCACCTCTATCGCTCCACTAGTGACACTAGTGGGCACGACATTTGCTTGGAGGCTGCCTTGGCTTCCAAACAAGCGCAGCTTTCCCAGAAGTTGGACACTGTGCTTCTTGGAATTCCCAGTTCGACCCTGCTGTTCCAGCCACGAAACCACTACTTTTGTCTGAAGCTGAACCTGGGGCTAGAGCTTTCCTAGCGGCACTCCCTCATGGACGCACCCGCATGGAGGGCCCATTCTTCTTGGCGGAACTCCGGCGGCGGCTCGGTGTACCCGATGCTGCGCAAGACGCTTGGTGTCCGCGATGCGATGGCATTCTTGACACCCATTCGCACCACGCTGGCATGTGCTTGGCCGGGGGGGACCGGACGCGTCGGCACCATGCTGCCCGCGGCCTGCTGCCTGGTCCGAGCGTGCTGGCTTCGCCCCTGAAGTTGAAAAGGCTGAGCTGCTGCTGCTGCCCCAACGACCAGAAGATGCACGGGTTGCCCTCCGGCGGCCTGCTGATGTTTACCTCCCAGCTTTGGAGGGCTCCCCGACTGCGCTTGACCTGGCCATCACCGGCACCTTGCGGTCTGAGACCCTTGCTGAAGCAGGTAGGCATGCGTTATCTGCTGCCAGTGCCTACGCGCAACTCAAGGCCACCCACTTGAACACCGCACAGACCTGCGCAGCCCAGGGCATCCGGTTCCGACCCATGGTGGCCGAATCCACTGGCGCCTGGGAAGCAGATGCATCCCACATTTTGTTGCTCTTGTCCCGTGGGGCAGCTGCCGGAGAGGGAGGTGACCCTGGTGCTCTTCATGCTTGCCTTCTTCAAGAGCTCTGTGTCGCCATCCGGGCAAGCCATGCGCGGGCAGTGCCGGGCTGCAGTGGCAGCATCCACTATGGACACCACTGCTCGCCACTTCGCACTGCATGGAGCGATGGAGGAGTAAGCCGTCATGAGTCTGGCCTTGACTTGCTCCTGGACTGGCTGCCCCTTTGCTTTGCTCAACGTCCTTTGCGCCTCTCTCTATGATGATCCACCAGGACATGAACCGTCGCGAGCCTTCCTGAGCCGAGTTTCTTTATTTATCTTTTAGCCAACGCGCTGGCATCCCACTTGTTGCCTTCAGGGTGCTATGATTTTTGGGCCGTCTTTCCGAGAACACGGATTGACTCCCCGGTTTTCTCCTGGTTTGGGGGTCCTTTTCCCCAACCCCCCTGACACACCATGACACACCTAAGGGGGTGCCCGTCAGTTTTTGCCGAGTTCTCACGCCTCAAGGAAGGTTGCATGAGGTTGTTTCTCCATTTTGGTTGTCTGAACACATGTTTCAGTTCTTTTTCTTGGAGCCACACATCGATTCAACTCCAGGTTCTGATAGAAAGGGTGGCGCGTTGAGAGCCATGAGGGGTCTCAGTGCCACCTCCCTGTCCTTTTCCCAGTGCTATTCCGCGCAGCCCGGTGCGGCCTTGGCAGCCGGTGGAGACGTCGAAGTACAGGAGGCCACCTTCGAAGCATGCAATTCAGAGATGTTGTCGGTGGCTTGGCTGGGCCCCATTGTTTTTTCTCAAATGGGGCGAAGAATTGCCACCAGTGATGGCAAGGCAAAGGGAAGATGATGGTTAACGTGACTTCTGTGTCTGAACGTGGGTATTGACAATCCAC